ATTGAGCGAAAGCTTCTTGTTCTGAACCACTAGAGAACTGACGAATTAACTTTATTTACTTATTTTACTTTGGGTACTAGAAATAAATCCCAGGGTCTTCTGAATACCAGGCAAGTACGCTACCATGAGGCTACACTCTCAATCCCAAATTTCTTATATTCCTAAAAAAATGAAAGGGGTAGTGTGAAAATGGAAAGAGACAGTTGCAGCAACGAAAACAAAGTCACTGATAAACACTGATGTTAATCCTGTAAGAAAAAGAACTTATAACTTCTTGTAGAAACTAAATATCTCCTATAAAAAAATATAAATAAGTATAATGAACACTCTTGCCTTAAATTTGTTATAACGAATATCTTTTGCACTAGTTGAAAAAGGTTAGGAAAAATCTGAGGAATAAACCTGAGAATCTTGTCTGAAAGGACGAGCTAAAAGAAACCAGCCATATAAAGGAAAGAACGCATCCAAACCACGTCTGTTCACAGAAGGGGTCCTTAGCGGAGTTCAGACACTCTGCAGCAAACATGACTGTAAACATTTGTCCTGACGGTCTACAGGACAAAGGAAACACTCCTGTGAGAATGGCAGCCAGGTCTTAGGCCTCCAGTCTTTGAAGTCTGAAATATTTTCTCAGATCGGCCATAGGCTTCTTTCTCTCTGACCTCAGGGGAAGATCGCAAAAGCAAATTCTCCTTCATTCGCCCCTTTCATTTATCCTGCCAAAAACACAGCCACTGATAAAGCTCACCAGTGATTCATTACATACCATCACCGTAAGGTTTCCAGTATAAATGCCATTTTAAGCAAGACTCTTATGTTTTATTAATGCTTGAAAGACATTTAACAGCAATGATGGTGCCAAATGATTCTTACCATATCATGTCATTAAAACCCAGATGTCTGCGGTGACAGAAGCACAGGCCGTCAGCCCCAGGGGCTTTCCCTCCATTCTCATTTCCTGAGCTCATTTACAAGAAGAAATTGTGGGGTGTGACTCTTCATACTTCTTTTTTCTCTGTATGTCAAGTCCTGTTTCTTTTTATTGACTAGGAGAAGATGAAAGAAAAGCAAGAATGAGAAAAAGAGGAAGAAAGAAACATTAGGGAAGAGGAGATCTTATAAATTAAAATTAAGATTGGCAGTCTGTTTGTATTTTTAAATGTCTTTTTGTGGACTAAATATGAACTAAATTAAAATGTTTAATTCCTAGTGTTTCATATGCAACTCTCCTATGTGGTATTTACCTGAAGTCCAAATCTTCCCTAGAGCCTGCATTCAAAGCATTGTTTCATTTACCAACCAAAAGAGACAAGTGCCATGACTGCAGGGTCTGGCTCATGGCCAGGACCTTGTGTATAATGAAGTCTCTACTCAGTATGGGCTTGTGCTGTTGCTTTGCATCCAAGGGAATCTCTAAAGCTCTCATCTTCTGGAGATTCTGTAGGAAAGCTGAGGGGCCAGGCTTGCCTAGGAGACACACTGTAGCTTCTAGCTATGATTCTTAGGATGGCATGATGGCAGCCTTCTACAATCCTATTCACCTTGGGTGATTTTCACTATCAACAATTATGTCTCGGCTCTATGCAGATGAGCCTCACGGGGCAAAATTGTCCTACACCTGGTGACTCAACAGATGTCAACCTACAAGGAAACTGAGTCTCAGCGGCAAAGGAAATGATGAGTTTGACTACAGAAATATTCAGAGTGGGAGAGGGATTATAAACCAGGACTCCTCTCTGGCAGTTACTGTTCTAGACACAGATGCCTGATATGTGACTTTGGTAGGAGGTTCCTGAGAAAAATTTCATTATCTCCCAGTAGCCTTCTGAAATAACAGTAATTAGAAGTGGAGGGACAAAGTGGGCGCCACGTTTCAACCCTCTCACCTCAGTTCTCCGCCTATCATTTCCCATGGTCCAGCAGCAAAGGGATGCTCCACAGCTGTTCTCCAGTCAAGCCTACAAAACAAAACTCGGGGAGCTGAAGCATAAAAACACACAAAACCAGACAGATAGCATCCTTTTCCAGACGCCAGTTTCTCCTCTCTTTCTTTCCCTATCCTGTCCTCTGGAACCTCTTACCATTTCATCCTCCACTTTACCAACTCTTTAAAAAAATGCTAATCAGAGAGAAAAGGTGCACACTTCCCTCTCTCTCTCATGCTTTAGTGATATTTATTAACAAGGAATCCTGAGTCTTTTCAGGCTGTATTCCCAAGAGGTGGGATAGCCACAACCCAGCTTTCTCATTTCTAGAAAGGTTTCCATACCTGTGCTAATTCATTCTGCTTCTGGTGCAACTCTATGTAGTTGAAGGAATACTAGGCAGAAGCCTCAAGTACTTTTCTGTGTCCACTCTGCAGCCCACGGTTATCATTAAGTGGCCATATAGAAGGTGTGGTCCAACAAGTGAGGCATATTATTTCAGGGACTATCACTAGATGCCTCGGCTTAGGATGGACTATTTGCCAGGGTAGGTGAGGATGTGACGTTTGTCGTACCTGTTCATACCTCCAAGTTGGCATTGATGACAACAGGTTTATTTAAATGTTTGTCTTCTCTAACTGAACTCTGTATGACCAGTGCCCATATTGAGCCTATCACTGTAAGACTTTCTTTGATACCCAGTAGATGCTTATCATGTAGGTATGAGCAGATGGTGTGAAAAAGATAGCCTCTAGAGTCCTTTCCAACACTCAGATTTCTTTTGACGATGTCAGTCCTTTATATGTTTATGACTGTCACAAGCATTTATGAATTCTAGACTCAGTCACCACACACTTCTCAAAGGGACACGCACACAAGCTGCTTATTACCTCGCCCCACTTATTGCCTGAGTCTGCAAACCATTGCTTTTATTTATTGTGTGTGTTTGTGTGTCATGGGCATGCTTGACGATGCACATCTGGAGGATGGTGGACAACTTGCCGATGTCACTTTCCCCCTTCTAACACCATGTGTGTCCCAGAGATGGATTAAGATAAGGATTAGAAGCAAGGGCTCTTGACCAATGAGCTATCTCACTAGCTTTGCCTCCCAATATAGGTGCTTCTCAGCTTATGACGGACTCACATTTGATACTCCCACCCATCACTTGAAAATACAGTAAGTCACGAGTGCATTCAACACACTCAGGGTCGCAGACACCCCATGTCAGTATCAGTCTGCTGTAGAGCATCAGTTGCTTAGCCTGAGAATACCCCGCTGCCCGAAGGCTATGGTCTGTTGAGGCAGTCAAGCATTGGGTCAACGCATCACAGCCCAGACTGCTGGTCCAGTGAAAATCAACCAAGCTGAAGCACCGTAAATTAGAAGATGATAGCGTCACCTCCTTTGCCACGCAATCTGTTCTACCTTACTACTCCCTTGTTTGTTAATGCCGTTCTCTTCTTAGGGAGGTCATATTAAAAACATCCCTGATGGTTTCTTCCCTATAACACTAGTGTCTGTCTAGTTCTGTGGATTCTTCTTTAAAGACGGCTCCTTTCCCCCCTCTATAGTGTCTGCTCACAGCCTCTATCAAACTGCCTATTATTCTAAATTGTACTTGTTTCATTTTGACATGCATAACGTGTTGACATCTTTCCCATTCCAGAATCTGAAAATTTTCTGCAAGGTGGCTCTAACTCCTGGTACTTCTTTGAGCACAGTTTTACAGATATTAGACTTAAATTGTCTCAGCGGCATGGGCCTATTTTATACTCTCCCCTTCCAAAGACCTCCACAGTAAAGACAGGTATCTTTTCAAAAACTGGACATTACATCTGTAATTGTAAGCGGGAATGTTGCTACAACTGACTGCAGTTTTAACTAAGAAAAACACCCTCTGCTATTTAAAAACAGTGCCTTAAATACAGCTCCCCACTGAAACCTTCCAGCATCCAGCCATCCCACCCCTTCCAGTGGCCTGATGTGCAACGAGGGAGGAGCCAGGAGCAAGCTGGCTCTGGGAAGACGGAGAGAGCGGGATGGGGAAGTCCCGGAAGTCACTGACCAGAGAGTCTCGGCGGGTTCACTCTGGGCAGTGGTCCCAAAAACTACAGGCTCTTCGGCGGGGCGGAGACCGCTCCCGGCCGCGGCTTGGGGGCGGGCCCGGATCGAGGGAGGCGGGTGGGACGCTCCCAGAGGTCCCAGCCGATTGGCGAACGCGGATGAGGGGCGGGGGAGCGCTAGAGGGGCGGTCGAACAGACAGCGCGCTGATTGGGCGGCACGAAAGGAGCTGGACCAGGGCTGGCCTCTCATTGGTCTCCGCGGGCCTGGAAGGCGTGGCCTCCACGCGCGGGAGGGAGGGCGAGGGAGCGGGGCTGGCCTGCCCGCGAGCCGGTCCGGCTACGAGCGCGGCGGGAGCGCGTCCCAGCTCGGCCCCGGGTGCTGCCCTCGCGTTCGCCGCGCTCCGGCCTGGGGTCTCGTGGCGGGAAGCGAGGCGAAGCGGGGAGCAGGGCGGAGGGGGGTCGAGGCGCGCTGCGCTGCCGCCCGGTCCTCGCCGGGAGCTGCGGGCCCCGGGCGCGCGGGGCTCGGCGGCGCGCGCACTATGCGGGCGGATTGCCGGCCGCCGCGATGGCGAGCCGGTCGCCGCTGAGAGCCGCGCGCAGCCCGCG